CCACATTGTATAGTCTTACCATTGTAAGACGATGGTAGACGTTTTAATTCACTGCTGCATCTGCCATAAATGCTAAACTAAGTCATTGTTTCAGGAACCTATTTGCATTATGAATGATCACTGCCAAAATATTAAACCACACTAATGTAAATACATAGAAAATTATAACAAATGTAGCAACACACTGAAAAGTTCAACTTATACTGAAGCCTCTTATTAATTTAGGGGGTAGGGATGTTGTGATTCTTCATGCCCTTAAGAACATGCACATGTTCAACAGATTTGTCCCTTCTAACCTCACCACCAAGAGTTTCTCAGTTAAACTGATTATAGCTGGTGCGTCAAACATACTGCCCATGGGCTGGATATGGTCTGCCTGATGTATTTACATTTCCCACAGGACATGTTCAGACTGTAGAATTTCAGCTCTCTTTTTCTTCTTTAAATAAGTTCCTAACCCTAATGGTTAAAAAAAAGTTTGTAAATGTGAACTTAGCTAAACTGCTGCAATGCCAGGTGCCTGAGTCTGCAGACAGGTAGAAACAGTGACTGAGGAGCATGAACTCCCCTTCTTCCTATTAATCTCATGGAGGGGAGCTGGTGTCTCAGATCTAAAATCCAGCAACAACATTTCAGTGTTAACACCAACTATCTTCAGCTGATCATGTTCATGGATAGAATGGGGAAGGAGGTGTGAAAATTAAGCTTATAAGGAGGTGGGAACTGGGAGCTGCTTCAGGTAAGAAAATGCAGAGGGAAAAACAGAGTAAACACACAGGGAAGATGGAGAGAGAAAGAAAGGAGACTGGGAAAAAAAACAGCGGGCAGAAATAACAGTGGCTCTAAAAGGAGGACATATTTTTCCCACTGAACGTTGCTAAATATGACAATAAGGTACTAAATGAAGAATATATAAGTTTAGTTACTACACAAAGGCCATATCCTTCCCTTGATCTCACTGCAAAGCTCCTAGTGACATCAATGTCAGACTGCTCTGGATCAAGAGGAGTCTGAAGTCCTCTATTTATGCCCCAGACCATGAACAATAATTTAACTTGCAATTCAGTCCTCTGAGCCAAATGAGTTTGACACCCCAGAACTAAAGAGATGTAGTATTTTTCAGTATAAGGTTGCTAAAAAGTTTATCAAAACTTAACACAAATAGAGCTCTATTCATTATTTTAGTAAGTTAAAAAATAAACTTTTTTCAATTTAAAGTTTAAGTGTTGTTTTAAATTTTTGGAGACTTAAGAACAACTGCTGGTGTGCAAAACCCAGAAAATGAAATCTACAAATTGATCAACTTCACTGTTTTAGTTTCACTCTCCATGTTGAATAAAATGCAAAACAGCAGCAGCGTAAGTGTTGAGTTAACAATTATACCCCTAACTGAGAGATCCAAAGAGTCACAGCTCAAACTGACTGCAGTTTTTTAATGTGCCGAACATCCACACAAGGCCCTATGCACCATTTATGCCCACTTCAACTCCAAATTAAAGTTATATGGGATTTAAATGTTGCCTTAGGAAGTGCCCTGTTAACTGGCCCTTCTAATCAGGCATTAATTTCATCCACTATCTTTCTTATGAGCTGCATTCTTTAAACTATAAGGCCTGATCCATTGCTCACTGCAGTCAATGGGAATGAACTGATTTCAACAGGTTCTAAATAGGACACACAGTGAAATGGATGTAATTGCATTCATAATTAGTTTGGAACCACCAGAAAGTCTCTAAGAATACTGAATAAGAATAAAGAATCTATACAGCAAGATTAAATTATGTTACAAAAAGTAACTATTATTTTTAGAACATTAGATTTAGGAGGGTACAATTTCCATGTAGTTCACTGACTGAGCACTAACAGTACAGAACACAGAATAGACATGTATAAGCATATGAATTCAAGCAGACAAAATCCTGTAAATTTACATGCTTAATTTTACGAACCCGAATAGCCTGACTGACTTCAAAGGAACTACAGTGTAAAATTAAACACATATGTAAAAGTGTTTGCAGGACAGATTATACTAACACAAATGTTAATATACATTAAGTGTCAAATATTTTATTTTTCCTGACAAAAATGATTGGCAACAGACAGGATCAGCACTTATTTATTTTTGAGTTATTTTTAATGTTAAAAGATGGCAAAATGGCAAACATGAATCAGTGGTAGAGTACCTGTGAAGACAAAGAAATGAAGTAGTTGAACATAGTAAGTCAAAACAAGCTAGAACTATTTATAGACTACTTAATAAACAGACAGGGGGAATTTGCCACTATAAATATATTTCAGTTAGGTATGTCTTTTCATACATGTGTACATACAGGATTACTTTTTGGTACATCTTGAAAATCCTCTCCCCACCTACCTAAGTCAGATGACTCTGTTATTTGTCACTTATCAGTCTGAGTGCTGAATTACTTTTAGTCTCAAAGTAGTGCTTGCGGGCAGCTCTGCAGGGGGATGACCCTGGGAAGGATCAGGTTGCCCTCTAATGAGCTGATTAGCCTTGCTACTCTGAGCATACATAATTTCACCACATTTTCAGGTAAAATTAGATTAAACTTCTTTCCACCACACTCATTTCAAATCTGAAGCCTTGACGACATTACAAAGAGATGGTCCACAGAAAAACTGCAGTATAATCTTAAACAACAAAATTGACCAACTTGTGTTTAAAATAAACAAGCATGAAAGTAAGCAAAAATCATGGAAAGACGTTTAGCTACACATATATTTGCAGGAATGTTGTTTCAATAAGCATTTTCATTTTTTATTGACACAGAATCATATGAACTAAGGGGTTGTTAGGTAAGGCGCGACATCCAAATTAGAGTCAAATAAGGAAGGGAACTAAATTTATGAATATTAGCATTGGACTGGTAAATTTATTCCAATATAAACATTTCCTTTTAAACAAAAAAACCCAGCAAATACATTTATAAAGCACTGTATGTTTTCAGTGCAGTATTTAACCAAGGAAAATACACAACAGAGTCAACTTGCAGAATTCTTGCTGACTTCAGTAGGAATACAGGGCATTTACTGGATCTGAACCCACATGTCTTAGTACCAGAGCATCACAAATGCACCACAAAAACATGCAATAATGTATACAGTTCATCTCCCAAAAAGAAAAAAATGACAACATAGTTATCAGATCATAAAAATGGTATTTTAATGTAGAATGGCTACGAATATTTTAAAACTGTTTAAGATCAAAATAAGTTATTCAGAAAAACTATATGCACATTATGCTAGATGTCACTTACATATTAGTGTTCAGACAAAAGAGTTAAGTAGTTTTAGAGAAGTATAGTTACAAAAGTGTCATTAGGAAATGAAATCATCAGAAAAAAATACTAATACAAAATATTGTGGTTACACTGGAGAAAATGACAAATACAAAACTCTTCCCAATATTAAGCCTGACTTCTATTATTTACATGCACCGCAATTGAAAGGTATATCATTCTATGACTAAGTGTCAAATAAAATTTTAAGTGATACCTGAATATGATCATTGCTTTCTATGAATTGCCAATGAAAGGAAGATTAAAATTAGCTAAAAAAATTCAAGATGTTAAAGCTCAGTATTGCAGACATAGCACTTACAAAGTTGCAAAACTGTCAGAGAACTGATTTAAACAAAAAGCTGGTCTAAACCTTAGCTATAGCAGACCTGGTGGTCCACTATAATTAACTAGGATGTGAGGCACCATTTGCACTGTTTAACTTTCTGAGGCCAATCCCCACCAAACTAATCCTAGCAGGAGATTACAAAAAGGGAATTTTCTTCTTGAAATATATTCTGTTAAGTATAACGTCTAATATATTTTCACCCACAGAGGATCATTTTTGGGTAAATTTTCAGAATCCTCTCCTCTCCCCTCCCCACCCACATATATCAGACACTTGTGTTATTTTGGCACTAACTCATCAATCTAGCCAAACTCAGAATTAGTTTTGAGAGTCAGGAATAGCACCTTTAAAGTTCCAGGACTACTGGGCATTAATACACCACAATCAGGGGCATGCAACAGCAAATATACTAGTCCTAAAACGCACATTATAGAAGCAGTTAAAGCTACAGAGGGAACCTTGACAGGACACACAGGATAAGGCTGACCCAGCAGGCAAATCAGCTGGTGAATGGTCAGCAAGCTCAGGGACCACAACGTACAGGAGCTGCCTCCAGTAAGCCCTCAGTCAAGACAGCTTTAAGGGCTCACCTTTGTTTTCACAGTCATTTCTCACCTCTCCCCCCACCCCCACACACTCTATCCCCACTGGCAACACACGCAACTGCAGGTTAGCCCCCCCGCAAACCAAACCCAACCCCTCACCTGAGCCCTACACGGCGATGGTCTCCAGCCCTACGCTCGCATCAGCGACTTGCCAACCCCACGCCCAGGCCCCCAAGCACGGCGGCAGGTCCCAGCAGCGCCCCCTCCCCCCACTGACAGAAACACGTCCCCAGCCCGGCCCCCCTCTCCCAGCGGCACGTCTCTCCCCAAGGGCAGCCCAGAACAGGGCCAATAGGGAGCAGCGGCTCCCGCAGCCCAGGACGCTCCCGCTGGCACGAGTCACCGCCAGGAAGAGCGGAGCAGAGCAGAGCAGAACCGAGCCGAGCCGAGCCGGGCCCCAGGACGCTGCGCCCCCCGCCCCCAGAAGCCGGCTGCCGACACCCGGGGGAAGGCGCCGGGCGCAGAGCCGGGCCCTAACCAGCACTTACATTCTCCATGAGCCCAGGACTGGCCGCGAAACCGGTAGGGGCAGGACCGGGCCGAGCAGCCGGGGGCTGGGCGACCGCGGCGCTGGGTCCTTTCACAGCCCCAGGAACAACTGCAACTCTCGATAGCGGCAGCCGCAGGGCCTCGCTCTGGGCCGGACTCTGCCCGGGACAACTTCCGGGGCAAGCCCCACAACTACTTCCGGGGCCAGGGAGGGGGCGTGGTCCTGGGAGGGGGCCGGGGGCGTCTCTGGCGGGGAGCGCGCTGGCCTCATGCGGGGCGGGAGGAGCCGCTCGTTGGGAGTACGCGTTTGGGTAGCCGGAGCCTCGCTCTCACGCCAACGGTTTATCCCAAGTGGGGCCTGCCTGAGCTCATTTACATATTCCTACGTAACCCTGAACTCCCGTGCCCCGGCCGTCGCGCGGGGCTGAGCCTCCCCGCCGCCGTCGCGCCCCAGCTGGGCTCGGGCAGGCTCCAGGAGCCGGCGTGTCACTGCCCTGCTGGCGCAGCCTGACTCGCAGTGCAAAACGCAGTGAGGCGCTTGGGCTGTGCCAGTGTCTGCTGGGTCATCTCATGCAGCCGCCGCCCCTGGAGACTGGTCTGTGGCTTTGACAGTGGCTTTGGTGGTGTAAAAGGCGCAGCCCATGCCTCAAAGAAATTGCTAAAGAAAACAGCTCAGCGGCCTGGGAGGAAGAACTAGGAATTCTGTGTGTGTCAGCTGCTGTTTTCCACAGTATGCATCCGATGAAGTGAGCGGTAGCTCAGGAAAGCTCATGCTCAAATAAATTGGTTAGTCTCTAAGGTGCCACAAATACTTGTTTTCTGCTGGGCACCAGAGAAGTGCGTTGCCAGGCCCATTCCCGAGAAGGGCCGCCAGCAGTTTCCTTGTAGAAACTTCCTGATTTTGCAAGTTTGAAAAGATGAGGTACAAGGGGTTTTAATTTGCTTTTTTTATTACTTGTGACTGGGCACCAAGAAGTTGGTTTCTGTCGTGTTTAGATGTTGCTTTATAGTCTTCAAACACTGTACAAATGTATCTTCATGTTCTTTTTTAACTGTTGATGTATAGAAAATTATAAAGAGGGAGCAATATAATTAATAAAAGAAGATGAAAAAGGAGGAATGATGAAAATAGAAATGATGGGTATGTCTGCAGTTCAGTAGACACCCTCAGCTAGTTTCAGGGCTGTTTAAGTGTGGTGTAGAGCCCTGGTTCTCAATCAGGGATATCCTGGAAGTATGCAGAGGTCCTTTAGGGAGTATGTCAACTCATCTAGGTATTTGCCTAGTTTTGCAACAGGCTACATAAAAAGCACTAGCGAAGTCCGTACAAACTAAAATTTCATAGAATGACTTGTTTATGCTGCTCTATATACTATATTATACGGTAAAGTAACATGTATACGCACTGTATTAGACATGTTCTATGTCATTTACTTATGCAGGCAAGCACGTTAATGAGATTGAAGTTGTCATGGAGTGTATGCAGTTGCAATGTAAAAATGGATAGAATTTTTTAAAACAAGCTGGAAGCAGTGGTAGTGGCGACTGAAAATAGTAAGAAATTGAAAATGACGGGGAAAAAAAATTGTCGCTTCTGCAAGGAATCTATTGCTTTTGGATTCATGTCTACAAATAGCAATCCACTTCAAGCTTTGTGTTTCCTTTGCAAAGAAACTCTGTCAAACAACAGTTTGAAGCTGGCACATTTGCCATGACGTCTGAAGACAAAACAACCTCTGTATGCGGATAAGCCAGTAGATTTTTCAAAGAAAGCTTTGAGTTCCAGACTTGCCAGCTTAAAATGAAAAAAGCTTTTGTGAGCACTGTACCATCTTCAAGCAGTGCAAGTACGTTTTAAGTGAGGTGAAACTTAAGAGTATGCAAGACGAATCAGGCTCCTGAAAGGGGTACAGTAGGCTGGAAAGGTTGAGAACTACTGGTGTAGGGAGGTTCCAGCTCTGGTTTTATCCAGAGTTCTAGGACTCTCCCAACTCGCAGGATCCTAGAACTTTAGTGCCAGCCCAAATACTGCAATTAAACAGTCCCTTAGCCCAAGCCTGCATGAGCCAGCCATCGGTTTTTAATTGCAGTATAGACATACACAAAAAAGAGTCAAAGGTAAAGTGCACACCACACAGCTGGGCAGGGGCGGCGAGTTCTATGGGCCCATGGTGCCTGTGCTTCACCAATGTGAGAGCAGGGGGTCCAGCTTAACCAAAGTTTGGGGCCAGGTCCCTTCCCCAGCCAGGCCTGCCACTCCGGGAGTATCCCCCCTGGCCCTGCCTGCCGCTCCTGGGCAATTTAAAAGGGCTTGGGGCCCCCACCGCCAGTGCAACAGGGCTAAGGCGGCTCCCCCCCCCCCCCATTTTGCTTCCAGAAGTGGCTGGCATGTCCTTGCAGCCCCTGGGGGTGGGAGAGGTGTGTGTCTCTGTGTGCTGTCCCCGCCCCGAGCTGCGGCCAGTGGGAGCAGTGGGGATGGTGCCTGCGGGCAGCGGCAAATGGAGACCCCTCTGGCCCACCACCTAGGAGTTGCTGCCAGAGGGGGGTGTGAGTTGCTTTCAGGAGCCGCCTGAAGGTAAGCGCTGCACTCCTTACCCTCTCCCACACCCCTGCCCCAGCCCAGATCCTGCACCCTCGTTCCCTCCCAGAGCCCGCCTCCTGCACCCCAGCCCAGAGCTCACACCTAAATTCCCTCCCAGAGCCTTACCCCCTCCCCGTCCTGCACCCAAACTCCCTCCCGGAGGTGGAGGGAGGAAGGCAGAACTTGGACCATTCTGGGCACCACCAAAAATTATACAAACCTGCCACCCCTGCTGCTGCTGGGTGTGGTATTCTGTCCCCTCTAGTGGCACTGAGATCACTTAGAGATTAAGCCTTAGCTAACAGCTACATGACTTTAGCTCATGCAGTAGAGACTCATGCATTTAGCTCCAGAGGTCCCAGGTTCAATCCTGCCTGCTGCCAACCAAAGTCTGTTGGTGTTACACTTGCTGCAGGCCCATAATGCCTGGCTGTGTTACTGAAGTCCTCAATTCTTGATTTACAGTTACAGAGAATCCACTATTTCCTCTAGTTCAAGCCATCAAATGATCTGTGCCCCATGTTGCAGAGGAAGATGGAAAAAACCCTAGGATCTCTGCCAATCTGACCTGGTCACAGACACAGGCACTGGCTTCCTCTGGGCCCGGGGGGTGCTTAACCCCCTGCTCTACCCTAGGCCCTGCCCTACCTGACCCCTTCCCCCAAGTCCCCACCCCTGCTCCTCTGAGTATGCCCCATCCCCACTTGTCCTCGCTCCCCACCCCAGAGCCTCCTGCACACTGCGGAAGAGCTGATCACGGGAGGCAGGAGATTCTGGGAGGGAGGAGGAGGAGTTTATTGGCAGACAGGAGGCGCTGTGGGAGGAGGGGTGTGCTTGCTGCCAGTGGGTGCTAAGCATCTACTAGTTTTTTTCCGTGGTGCTCCAAGGCTGGAGCACCCATGGAGTCAGTACCTATGGAGCTGGAAGAAAATTCCTTCCTGACCTCAAATGCGGCAATTAGCTAGACCCTGAGCACGTGGGCAAGACCCACTAGCTGGAAACCTGCAAAAGAATTTTCTGTAGTAACTCTGAGCCCTCCCCATCTAGTGTCTCATAGCTGGAGATATTTGTTAACACCAGACACAGTAAAACAGAAGGTTTACTAGATGACAGGAACACAGTCTAAAACAGAGCTTGTAGGTACAGAGAACAGGACCTTTCAGTCAGGTCCGTCTTGGGGGGTAGGGAGCCCAGAGCCACATCTGGGCCTCCCTCCATTTCCCCAGTTAGCTCCAAACTGAAACCCCCTCTAGTCATCTCGCCCAGTCTTGCCCAGCCTCCCCCTGGCTCCTCCTCCAGCCTTTGTCCAGTTTCCTGAGCAAAGGTGTAACCTGGCCCCAACCCCCCTCCTGGGCTCAGGTTACATGCTCAGGTATCCTCCTTCAAGTGAAGTCACACCTGATATCCCCATCACCAATGCAGACAGTCCCAGTAAAACTTCCACGCAACATCCCCAGGTCAATACGCCCTACTCCGTCACAGTACCCCCACCAAATTTACAGATTTGTTAAAAATCCTTGCTGTTGGATTTGGAACTGCCACATGAAATTATTTCAATATTCTTGGATCGTCCCCCAGTTTTCTCCCATTAAACTGTCTGAGTTTGACTTCCACTTCAGATGTGGCAATTTCTTTTTCCATATTCCTGTACCCATTAGCCAACCTGCCACTGTTGCTAAGCTCCTGATTACCCTTATTAAAACCCGAGGCATAGTATTTGTTTAAATGGTGGGCCATACCTAGATTATTTTTAATCTCTACCTTGTCCTCAGTGTTCTGCAGTCCACTTCTTTCCTTGTTTTCTTTTTATTTATATGACTAAAGAACCTTTCACTATTGGTTTTAATTTCCTTTGCAAGGTGCAGCTCTGTGAGGTGCAGCTAAAGCAAAATTTTCTTTTTTGAGATCACACTATTTTTACTTATAGATCATCCTGTAAGGAGGCTTGTTCTTTACAATCTAAAATGGACTATGAATGCATGTGAAATTATTACCTCTTTTGACTCAAGCAGTTAGCCAGTATTGAAGATCTTGCAGGTTGTTTCTCTTAGGAGAAATTGATGATGGAAGCAAGTATTTCTTTAATGCAATCTTGTTTATTTGCAAAGAATGTACACCAAGTCCTGTTTCACTGAACAGAGTGGGAAACAAACAACAGGAGGCAGTTTCTTTGCCGGGACTTACAAGCCTCATTCCAGCCAATGCTCTGCGCAAAAAGCTTTGTCTTTCTCTCAGGGCCACTTGACAAGTACTTCTCTCACTGTCTCCTTGGCTTTCTTGCTGCCTACTATGTCTGGATCTGGCTGCGAACTCCTACAAACAACAATATCCAGCTCCCTGTGTTTGCATTCAGCCCCCAGCAAAACCCCTCCACCCACCTAGCTCTGTAACTAACTGGCCTTGCATGTGGCCTGTGTTTTGGGCAGTAGCTCCTATTGTTTCAGCTATCTTATCCAAAAGGGAGCTTAACTACGACTTACGTTTATCCTGAACGAATAGCAGCTCTCTCTCACCAACTTCAATGAGGTTTCTCCCAACTTTCATCATAACGTGATGTTCCCTTCTTTCTTGAGATTGCACTAAAAGTATGCATGAACGTGTGTAACTGAAGGATCTTTGCTCTGAGGTTACACTGAGAAATTGTCTTGGCAGATGTGTGCGGAACACTCTTTAAGTTTTGTTTTGGCCAGGTTTCCCATTCATTTTCCCTAGGAGCCTGTGGAGCTTTGGATGATATGTGTAATGCTAAAACTAATTACTCTAATTTGCCCTTTGAAGTAGCATTTTATTGGCTGTACAGAAGCAAATAAGCTTATGCACTAAGTTACCAGATACATAAAGCTCTTAATATGTTAGCTAGTATGTTTCCATAATGGACTCTAATAAATAAATAGTGGGAAAAAGTCAGATGACTGATTCTAGAATCCAAAGCTATATTAATCAAACATTTGACATTGTACACATGCATTATCCACTTTTTCATTCCTTTAGAGAGATATAGCTATATAATACCCCCCATTTTATTACATTTTTCTCAAACATTAGGGTTGAATTTGGTAACAGCCAGAAAGAAAGGGCTGTAAATTGTAGGTACCAATTGACCACAATTTTAATGTGTGGAAATCTTGAAACCTTAAATAGATATCCACAGCACTGAATGAAGTGTTTATGTATTGTCCCTGACAAAAAGAAAGAAATCACTGTCTCTTCTAATCGTGGGCCCAGCCCTGCATGCTTAAAATTAGTAGTTTTGCTATTCACTAGAAAACTGCACACCAAGCTATTGACAGTATAGAAAGGATAAGATGCCATTTAAAAAAATGAACAGAGTTTAATTAGAA